CCTTGGCAACTTTAAGCCTGGAGGACTTCAACTCCCAGAATGCCCCAGCCAGCCCAGTGGGGCATTCTGGGAGTTGAAGTCCTCCAGGCTTAAAGTTGCCAAGGTTGGAGACCCCTGATCCAGGTCATGGTTGTCCCAAAGGTGCTTTTTCCAAGAGGCAACTGGACTTTCTGGTTTTTCAAATCAAATCAAATCAACCTTTATTTTCAGAGTACAACATGAGTATAATGAGATTGGCTGAGCCTCCCTTCGTGCACCGCCCCCCCAAATACAACTCACAGTGAAGACCAAAAAAAATAATTCCCCAATCCTGTTAATCCTGCTAACACACACGCACACGCACACACACAATCTTATTGCACCATATGAACTTATTGCACCACAACACACTGGCCCAACAAGTCTATCAATACTGTGTTGACATGAAGTTATTTTTCATTCAGGAGTCTGACAGCCCAGGGGTAGAAACTGTTCTTCAGCCTTTTGGTAACCCTGGCTATGCTTCTATATCTCCTACCCAATGGTAGGAGAGTGAAGAAGTGCTGACTAGGTTGTGAGTCATTCCTGAGAATTTTCCTCACTCTTCTAAGGCAGAGAGCCTTAGTGATGTCATCTAGTGGTATCAGGGGACAGCCTAGTGTTTTGTGTGTGCTTACCACCCTCTGTAGTGTCTTTCTATCCGCGGCTGTCAAGCCAGCACACCACACTGTAATACAATGTGAGAGGACACTTTCTATAAGTGGACTGGTAAAAAGGAGGTCATCAGTCGCTGTTCCACTTTGTTCTTCACAAGACCCTAAGGAAGTAGAGTCTCTGCTGGGCCTTTCTGGCTACCTGGGTTGTGTTGATTTTCCAGGTGAGATATTTGCTGAGGTAGACTCCCAGGAATTTAAAGGAGGAAACTGTACACACAGCCCCCCTATTTGAAGATATTTCGCTTCTCATCCAAGAAGCTTCTTAAGCTCTCTTATTTTGTCTCATCTTGTGTCTACCTACCCATTTATGTATCCTAATTGAATATTATCATCCCCACCCCAATTACATTCATTCAGAACGTTGTATAGTTTCCTCCTCCATTTCTCTGGTTCTTTCCATTGCACTCTGGAGCGTAATTCATATTAACCACCAACCCATGAATTCACATGCTCACATATGATACAATCTAGATCAACATTTCTCAATCTTGATATCTTAAAATTGCCAAAGTCACTGATATCGGTAATACCAATTTATAATTTCTGATTTTTATTTTTGTGCCTTTTGAGTCAATTTTTGACTCCTGGCAATTGCTAGGACTGCAGCTTTCTTAGCACTTTTTTTTTTCAAAAGTGGTTCGCCCTAGTATTCTTCCTAGATTTGGGAGACTGTGATTGGCCCTGGCCTAAGGTCACCTACTTAGCTTTTTTGGCAATGGTGGAACCAGTACCCATGGTCTCCCTGTGTCTAGCCTGATGCCTTAACCGCTATGCAAAATTGGCTATTTTTTTTTATATACCATCAGTCTTTTTCATTCATAATCAAACCTATATCTTTGATTTCCTAAATGCATTCCACAATATCTGGCAATTTCATTGGGATTTATGGCATGCTTTTCCTTCCTATTGGCTTCTCTTTTTCCTTTTAGACCTTGATTTGTATTTACTATTTACTCTTTTTAAAAAATTTCTCTTCAAATTTTCCCTAATCCCATCCTCATGGAGCTCTAGATATCGATCCTTCTGCCATTATGAAGTTGGATAATTGAGAATTCATACAATGCCTTTTTTTTAGAAAGATGAAAAAGCCTTAGCTACACCCATTCCATATGTAACTTTCCTCATTGAGGAAATAGAGCTGGTCAGTCTGAGCATATTTTTGCTGACATGCCACAAGTGCAGCCAGTATATCAATGACTCTATCCCTAGGGCAGGGCTGTCAAACTCACAGCCCAGACGCATTATGCACTGGCCATGCCTGGTTTAGGGAAGAGGGGAAAAAGTCCTGATACATCATGTGATGCCGCCATGACGGCAGGAGTTTGACACCTCCGCCTTAGAGGAATAAGATATATATGCAGCTTTGTGTTTTTTTTTTAAAGGAGGAGTAAAGTTTGATAAATTCACCTATTTTTGTGACCCCTTAACATTAATAGGAAACAAAAATCACATCATGGATGAACAACCTTTTTCCAGGAAATTAGATTTCTATATTAAGGCCATTCCATGGCTATATAAAATCTGGAGGCAGTCATTATCACATACTAACTACTGTGCTTCCCAACATATACGGAATAGTCTTAACATCTTGTAAAGTAAATTACTCCATAAATATATTTGGGGTATATAAGAACTACCATTTTCTAGATTGACACCATTAAAACTATAAATTGTTTCAAAGTGGTTTATTGCCATTAGAACATTCATGTTGTAATTTCTCCCCATAGGGAAGGTTTACTGCCCCAAAGTTTTTGAAATAAAATAACGTTATCAAAGACAATGTATATATAGTTCATTACAATTGTTGATAAAAATCACAAAAAAGTCAAATTTTAACCAATAATCTTTCAAAAGTATTCACTCCTATATGCAGACTTTTTTGGTGTTCATAATATGGCATCTGCATATGAATGCAAAAATAGAACCATACTACTTATTTTGTTACAAACAAGAGTTCAACTGGGCTTTTAAGGGAGATGCTACTTGCACCCCAATGGGATGTAGCACTGTACCTTTGCTTACACGTACGTGTGCTTATAAAACATCTGGGCACTGAATGTATCATTTGCAGAATGCTTACATACAAATATAAGATGGTATATTTTACCAAACCATGTAATTGGGGTTTACAAAATTAAGCTGTCAATTTTGTATTCTGATGTAAAATATACAGTAAGTATGAATCAGGATAGAGTTTGTTGGAATCTGCTCATAAATTGCCAATTTTATTTCTTGGTAAAATAACTTTAGTAACAAGTGTCAAATATAAACATTAGCAGACATAACATATTTAAATTGTTAGCCTCACAAGAGTTAAATGAGGAATCCATTTTCAATTGCTTATATGGAGAATCAATAACAAATCTTGACTTTGTAATTTTTAAAGAATGTTGCTCTTGAATATTTTACTTTGCTCCAATGCACTTAAGGAGGCAGAATCACAATTTCAATACATTTGTACATGTGACTGCAAAATAACCAACATTCAGTTTCAAAATCACATTTTATTAATCAATTATGCATTTTCTTGTTTTTTTTAAATTAGTTTTTTTATTTCAGAAAAGTTGGTAGATATTTGAGTTGAATAATTTTGTAAATATTAAAAAAATCTTTTAAGGCAGGAAAGCAATCTAATTTTTGAACAGCTGTGCGGTACTTTGTATAAGGGAAGCTAAAACAGTTAACAAATGATACTGAGTGCTAGTATGAATATTTCCATGATGGTGGTGATGCAAAAAAATGATGGCAAAGTCCTTCCTTGTTTATATTCACTGAAGAGCACCTTTTCAATTTTTCCTCCATGAATCAAATATTAAATTATTTTTTTTTCATACTGTCAGGAGGAATAAAAATGGAAGAAAAGGATTAATTCATTGACACAGAAGTAGAGTTCAGAGCATGTAAGAAATATTGAAATATTTGAAAGTTTTAGTTATACTCTTAAGGTAAAAGAAATAATCACACTATACTCACTTATGTTTGATCAACCTTCCTCCTTGAATAAGTTGTGCAAATTCATTAGTGAAGTGACAAGCAAACAACAACCAGTTCCTGGGTTGTACCTTATATGCAAACCTCATAAAAGTCAAAGAATAGCAAGAAAGTGCTGTAAAAACAAGGTAAAGATTAAATGACTTCATGTTCTTAGATTTAGGGCAACATTCACGTTTAGTTCTGCAAGTGCTATGTTATTGCATATCCAGAGAATCTCATTTTATATATATTTTACTATCTTAAAACATTATTAATAAAAGCTAAAACTGTGACAGGTGTTATCCTTGAGGGGTCTCTGAGGATTGAGAACTATTTTATAAACGAACCCATCCTGGCATCCAAAAGAAATATGAAAGGCTTACAATGGGTCTCTTTGATATACAAACATAACCTCCACATTTTAGGAGGTAAAGAACTGGGTAATGGAAAATTTGTCTCTTAATGGACAAATAAGATGGATTTAGACCAGAGTGCTCCACAACAGATAACTGTGTTGTTTTACATGATAACAAGTAATTAAAGACAGTAAACTGTTCACTGCTTTCATAGATCTCAGTATGGTGCTTGATTTCTTAAACAGAAACATGCTGTGAAAGAAATTGGTCATCTTAAGCATGGAAGATAAATTCTTACTCCTGGTTAAGGCCCTCTACTCAAACACCCACTTGAAAGTGTGTACAGGTGCAAATAGTTCTGTAACTCATAGTATACCTACCCATAAGATATTAGATAGGGTTGAATTCTAAACCCAATGCTTTTTAACTTCTATGTGAATTATATTCCAGGATTCGTATATGCTTCAGACACTTATATGACAAAAAACTATGATAAATGTATTAATATCCTTTTATATGCTGACAACATGGTTGTCATGGAGCATTCTCAAGTAAGTCTGAGAAGACAGTCGCAAAAGCTAAATACCTACTGTAATCTTAATTCTCTAAACAACAATAAAACCAAATCTAAAGTATTCCTTTTTGCTAAAGAATTTAGCAAGTAAAGTGTGAATTTGTTCACCTATTTAGGAGTGGCTTTTACCAACACGGGATCATAGGCAAATCATTTTAAAAGAAACTTGGTGAGATCTGAGACAAGTATCAAAACATTATATAAACTGCTTATTTATAGTTAACCAGGGACCTTGGCCCCCATAATGAAAGTAATTAGGGCAAAAATGATCTCAGTGTTGACCTATAACACTTACAAAAACCATTTCACTTCAATTTCCAATCCGTTTTATAAGAAGCATATTGGCAATAGACAAGAAAATGCTAGCGCTCACAGCAGAAATAGGTATCCATTCCATACACAGCTACTCAACTATTAAAAGTTTTTATCTACTGGCAAAGGAACCGCTCAATGGATTTCAATAGGCTACCCAAAATACAGTATGTTTAGCTGAACAAATAAGTATGGGTTGGCCCACCCCTGAGTAAGCTGACTTAACCAAAGTTATTTTACAGCATGGCTTTTCTATCTAATATTTACTCTCCACTGCTTCCAGGCAAAGTAAAAATTTTAAACAGATACTAGATACAGTATCAGTACCTAAACAGGCATGAAGTTCTTGGCAAAAATATTTAAATTGGTTGGCTAAGAATAAAAATACTTTCAAAACCAAGCAATGTCTTGAATGTTTGAAGCAATGCCTAAGAAACCTATTCTAGAGCAAATTTTGAGCTGTTGGATTCGGTGGCCAAATATGGGCACTGCTATCATTGGCCATATCATGAGGGGATATATGTATGTGCAGTGCCCCAGACAATAAAAATTTTGCTCATATTTTGTTTGATTGTCAACATGATTGCTCATGTTTGTTTGATTGTCCATTTTGGGCTTAGGTATTTGAAATCCTTATTTGAAAGAACAGCCCACTGGGACCTAAATGGCACATTTGATATTTCTTCCTGGTCTCTAATGTATGCTTGTTAGCAGAAATGTTAAATTAATAGATAAAGCAATTTAACTGAGACTTCATTAGTATTATATTTTCTTATCTATTTTATCCTGGAAACAGATCTTGTACTTTACATTTATTTTCTTTGATAAGATTGTAAGACTAATCAATCAATAAACATTGCAAGTTCTGCACATCTAAGTAGTTTATTAACAATTTTAAAAATATGGTTTAAAACTAAAGTTAATTTCACCACTTGCCAAATGTCATTCGGCCACTGATGATTTCTGGTGATTTCTTCATATCATTGATGGCAGCAATGGGAAGTCCCCAGTTGGCAACAGGTCCCCAGAAGTGCTATAATAAAGGCACACAATAAGAAAAGGAACTTCATCTTTTGCCAGTTCAAAAATATTTTAAATCATTTTAAAAAAATACAGGACTAGATGATTGTTGTCTCTGATTAATGCAGACCCATTTGGAAGCAAGGATTAAGGACACATTTTGTTCCTTAATCTAAAACACGTATCACTGCTACAGCACTTGCAATTCCAAAGAAATACACACGTACCAAACATCTCATAAGCCATGATACCAGAAGAGAACTGGAAAGCCTTCATGGCATTACTAGCTTCTAATCCATTGGCTAAGCAGCCAAGAGTAAGCATAGTTTGTCTACCATAGCCTCAGTGTCTAGCAGAAGTTCTATGTTGCCAAGTGCTGATAATTTTGTAATGCAGACATTTGCTTTCCTAGAACCCCTTTTCTCTAGTTTTTCTTGGAGTGCTAGGTATGCAAAATGTTTAACTGATGGGGCAATCTTTAGGAATTTTAGGATACAGGCAGTGTGTAAATAAATGGTACTCCCATGATATGACTGATTGGCAGTAGGTATAACTCTGAATGCCCTTTTTTATTACAACTACATTTATCCCCCTGACAGAAAGCAGAGTGGGTCAATTTAGCATCTGTATTTCCATAAACATACTAACTTCTCTTGATCCAGCATAGCAGGTACAAACGTGGTACAGACGAACTTGAAGGAACTTTACTGAACACATTTCTACAGGTTTATAATCTACATATATAGCAAACTTAGTCTATAACTAACTTTGTCATCAGTTAGACTAATGAGTTAATTATATTCACTATAGCTTTTAAATGAGGTACAATGAAAGGAGTAACCATTTAGAATATTCTTTTTTCAGAAAAAAAAATGACTTGAGAAGCTTTGTGTCAAAATTTCAAGTTTTATTTTGGAGCATTTCCCAGGATATTTATTAATTGGGGATAATTTTGTCGTACTATAAATGAAAAGAACTCATCCTGGGGAACAGCTGCACTTCTACTTAAATAATACTATGACTGGCACAATTATAAGTGACTGAATTGAAGCAGAAATAATACCTTACCGTACTGTTTGATGAGCAGTCATAATGGTTCATCATTTAAGGGGAGATGTGAAAGAGAAAAAAAGGCAATAGCCTCCATGAAATAGAATTCCATATATAAATATTTGTTTTTATTTGTATGTATCTAGCCCACTTTATTATTAAATGCAGTTAAAAGCAGAATACAATTCATTTAAAATTGTTAACAATGACAAAACTATACCATGTTAAAACTCTAAAACAAAGGACAATAGTAAATCAGATTGACACCACCAGTTTTAGGCAAATGCCTATATAAATATAAGAGATTTGTACCACCCAGATCTGTGTACCTCTGATAAACATACTTCTTTAAGAATAATTTCCCTAATCTTAATTGGCAGGTAAGTACATATGAGAGAAAGCATTGTTATGTATCCAGGCCCTGAGCTGTAGAACCTATTTATCAGAGTTGTAGTACAAAATTGTAACTAAACTGATTTAGTGGGTTGGGTTGATGCTGAAGAAAAAAGAAGCATAGAAATTTTACCTCCTCTGCACTCTGGACTCAGTTTTACTGTCATCACAACTATCCCCAAATTACAGAAATAGAGGATTATGAAATGTTCCAGAGTAGCATGGTTAATAATACAATAAACTGGAACTGGGGAAGAGAAAAATCAACACTTTACACTTCCAAGCTTAATCAATTTATATACACTATGTACGGCTGAGATATAAAGTTTATTCTAAGTTTAATGTTCATTGCTATACCATACCTATATAGCTTTCCCATTATAATAATTATACTCACACATAATTTGAGATTTCAAGGGCTTATTTTTAACTGAATTTCAACATTTACAAGTCACATAGTAATACAAATTATATTCTCTTATCTCTAGATTAGTAAAATAATTATGCTAAAATAAATAATAACCATATAAATATTGATTAGTTTAAATTTACCAACATTCCATAGTGATGAAATAATTTAGAAGCATACTATCTCTGACTTTTTTGCTTAAAAATGGCTCAGTTACACTCACACATATCTGGTTTACCAATTAAGCATGACTACCATCTCTGCTTTGCAATATTACGAATTTTGGGGCCTGGTGGGATGGGGGTATTGCATCCATACTGAAATCGATATAAATATAGTGGATCTCATAAATGTGTGACAATCATTAGCCAACACCTTGAACAAAAGTTCATCAGTCATAGCCTGAAACAAATTAAAAGAAAAACTGAGGGAAATGTGACCTGCAACCTGATGACAGGGATCATATGATATCAATGCTGAAAGAGTTATACTGGCAAAACCACAACCGCATCAGATATGCTCAGACAGAAGCAACTTGTACAAGGAATGTAAAAAAAAGTAAATAATCAAAGATTATGTTTATGTAATAGATGTCTAGTATTAACTGCTAAAAGTTTCCTGTTATAGTTTATATAGCTTTCACTTTTCTGTATGCCCTACAATCCTAATATATGCCCCAAATTGCTTCTAAAGGCTAATGGATTCTTTGCAAAGGCTCTGAATAAGTTCTGAGCATTGCAGCTGGATACAAAAACCATGGAAATTTGGCAGGGTTCCCTTGCCGAAGGTGGAATACTTTCCTACCGTGTTTCTCACAAAATAAGGCCGGGCCTTATTTATTTTTTTACCCCCCCCCCAAAAAAAACGGCTAGGCCATCTTTTCGGGAGTGACTTAATTCCCCCCCTTGCATCCTCGGGCGGGCAGGCAGCGACAGCTTGGATGTTGACCTCGGCGTTGGTGGGGCACTTTGTATCGGGAGCCACTGTTGCTGTTCCTTCTCCCCGTGCTGCCACGACGTTTAGAGCAATGCCGCTGCATCTGGCGCACCAATGTGCGGGCAGCCAGGGCTCCTCCCTGCAACCGGAGCCCAGTGGAGACACTCAGCTTCAGGTGCTCCTGTCGCCGCCTTCCCTTCGCTTCGAAGGCAAAGCCAATTCTTTTAAAAATGACGTCTCCCCTGCCCGAGAGGACAGCCCAACCCCATGTGGGGAGGCAAATCTCCTAGGGCCGCAGCGCAGGATTGGCCCACCCCAGGAGAAGTGCCCAGCCACCATCTCTGTCTGGCACCAGGCAGAGCGCGAAGAGCTTTGCCTGGGGCGCCCAGCACAGCTGACAGGCTGGCCCTCCTGCCCGGTGGTGGAGCTCTCACCAAGGCAGTGAGCGCCTCCCCGCCGGGCCCTCCGCTCATCCTGCCAGGGCTGCGCCAGAGCCGTGTGGGCTGGACAGAGCTGGGAAAGTGAGCCGTGGGTACGCGCCTGCCTGCCAAGCGAAAGAGCCAGGCTGACCCGAGCTTGGCTTCCTTCCCAAGTCCCTCCAGCCCAAACCTGAAGGGGCCCCCGGGAGAGGCTGCCCAAGGCAGTGATAGCGCCTACTCATCCATGGACAGGGAGGCAAGGTGATGGCCTGCGCCACGTCCTCCTCCGAGCTGAGCCCTGCCGAGTGAGCGCCTCTGCCCGATGCCTGTGCCGTTTGGAGCTGCCGGTGCATTTGGACATGCGTGGTGATGGGGACAGGGTGGGTGAGGGGTGGAAAGGACGGGTGGCTTTGTGCTCTCTTCGCCGGACCCTCCAGCCACGGAAGCAGCGCTACTGTCGCCTCGCCTCCCTGTCTGCAGGTGGGTGGGTGCTATCATTGCCTCGGGCAGCCTCTCTCGGTGGCCCCTTCGGGTTCGGGCTGGAGGGACTTGGGAAGGAAGCCAAGCTTGGGTTGGCCCGGCTCTTTCATTTGGCAGGCAGGGATGGCGGCTGGACACTTCTCCGGGGGTGGGCTGATTCTGCACTGCGGCCCTGGGAGATTCGCCTCCCCGTGTGGGGTTGGGCTGCCCTCTCGGGCAGGGGAGGCTTTGTTGTATCGGTAGTAGGGCGTCATTTTTAAAAGAATTGGCTTTGCCTTCGAAGGTGAAGGGAAGGCGGCGGCAGGAACGCCTGAAGCCGAGTGTCTCCGCCAGGCTCCGGTTGCAGGGAGGAACCCTGGCTGGCCACGCGTGGCTGCACCAAACTCCGGCAGCACAGGGAGAAGGGAAAGCAACTGTGGCGGAAGGTCTCCTGATACAAAGTGCCCCACCAACGCCTAAGTCAACGCAAGCAGCATCATATCTGGGTATGCAACAAAAGTACTTCCTAACGGCAAGCCCCCCCACCATTCCCCCCTATTTCGCATGTTTAATATAGGCCTTAATTTGGGGGGGAGGGGCTTAATTTGATTTTACGCCTATAAAACATGTTGGGACTTCCTATTGTTGGAGAAACACGGTACCTATACAAAATACTGTCAAATTCCAGTCTTAAACTATTACCAATGTACTAGAATAAAGTGTCATGCAGATTTTAACCTTCAAATGTAATAATATAAATTTGTAATTTGTTTTTTAAAATATTTTAAGATATATAAAAACATAAAACTTCCACATGTAGAACAAAAGCTGAAATAAACATTCTGTTAATTATATTGGCAGTATTTTAATAATAGAACAATTTTCAAATGGTACTTATGCATAATTATCCACATGGACATCAACATTTTTCCTCAAAATCTTAGCTATACATGCTTGAGACATAATTATATCATTAACTAATATTACAAATGTTTTAATTTTAAAGTTTTTAGCCGTAAAGAATTGCCATTTCAATTACTATAATAAATATTTCTCTCCCAATAAACAAAGCAATAATCTTCACCAATGTGCAGTTTTTAAAGCTACATTTGTTTTAGTTAAAAACATATCATGCCCTGTGTTAAATACCTTTCTTTTTCAGAACAATACTTTAGTGGTCAGGCAAGTATTGCACGGTTTCTTCACTTCAGATTTGCTCAATCTCCTAAGTAATGAACATCTTGGACAGATTTACCAGGAACATTCTTAAGCAATACTATCCCTATTTACTTTTGGGAAACCACCACAAATGTTTATTTGTATACTTATTTGCAGGTGTAATTATCAGTTACTTTATTGGACTAGCATATTAAACCTTAATCTTAGATAGAAAGCTCTGTTGCAAGACTTAACATATTGCCTCTTCAGTTAGTATAGCCATCATCTAGGAAAAACTTTGAAAGGAATTTCACATGCTTACTAGATTCCTGAAGCTGATATTGTTTGTTAATACCTTTCATCAGCAATGTGACAAATTATAATGGCTTTCCAGAAACCTTAATTCCCCTTCACAATCAAGAAGTGGGACAATTGTTATTTGACAGGGATTATAGCTCACTCTCATGGCCTATTATTAGAGAGGCACTTGAAAATTTGGGGTTTGTAAATGAATGATTTGGTATAATTTAGCTTTCTGCCTATTTAAAAAGCTTATTTTTAATTCTTGAAATAACATCAAGGACAAGTTGCCGTTTTCTTGTTAGAAATTAACTTATGTTTGTTCAAGTTAGCAACAATTTATATTTGACTTTTCAACAAACCCATTACCAGATAGATGGTTAACTTTCTGTATAGAAGCAAAAGTATTCATACAAATAGTGAATCTACTCCCAGACAATGCCTATAGTTCTAAAATCAAAATTAGTTATATTTTTTCAGTAAAGTGTGTTATTTTTGTGGATAAAAGTTCAATTGATATGGAAAACAGAAACAAATTTACTTCAATGTCTTGTGTATTCTCAAAATAGAAACTGTTATGTTCCTCAGAAGTATACGTATAAATAGTAACAGAGATGAACAACAACAACAAATCACAACATAGTACACTGGAAGTTTATTCAGAAGCATATCCCGGGGTTTACAAAATATTTAATCCAAGCAATCTTTTCGCCTTAATACAGCATTTAGCAGGTGCATCTTCCATCACCTTGCCACACTTGTATCAAATTACTTCAAAAAGCAGGAGTCTTATCCTTCCTACCTTCCCTCAAACTCATTTTCAAAACAATTTTCATGTATTCCCGGGGAGAGGGCATCCTTTTTGAGACAATGCTGTTGGCTTTGCTTTTCTATTTTAGAAATCCCTTGAGAGCATTTCTCAGTTGGGAAGCCTAATAAGCACATTTTAAAAACTACAGCCTATGCACCAAGGACAGATCGGGTCACAAGCTGGCCTCCTGGCTTTTCATATTAAGAGGGCAGGGCAAGCATTTCAAGGAGAAGAAAACTCTAGTGTGTGGTGAAGCTGCACTTTGCTTCCTGAGAATTACAATCCTGGTGTAGTCCTTGTGGCTTTGTCCCAATCCTCTGCAAGGGAAATTATGTTTTTCTGTCACTAAGCCACGTCGGACTCTTCATGACCAGATGGACTGCAGCCTGCCAGCCCTCCCCCCTTCTGACCTTCACTCCCAAAATTTGCCCAAATCCATGTTTGTTATGTCGATGACACTAACTAACCAATCTCATTCTTCTCCTTTTACCGTCAGTCTTTCCCAGCATCTGGGTCTTTTCCAAAGCTTGTCATTGCAAGCACCCAAATACGGGAGCCAACCCTTCTCTGGGACACAAACCAGACATCTTTCTTCTGGCTATAAGCCCGCCTTGGTTTTCATCCCAGTCCTTGACCAAGACAGATTTTATTATTTTTATTTTTATAGGACTTCTACGGCCGCCTAGGTCATTCATACACAGTGACTCCAGGAGGCTCACAATAATCTTTTTAAAGGTGTCAGCGGAGTTTCCTGCAGATCCAAGGCAGGAAGAAGGCGGTTCGACAGGGACCATCGTCGGAAGCCCAGCTCGGGGCGGGCAGATGACCTTGAGCCGTTTCCAAACGGCCCCGCTGACAAGGGACTTGGACGGAAGGATGGCCAGAAAATCCCGGGGCTATAGCGTTAGGTACAGCAAAGCGGAGGAGAAGCGCTGCACCTGAAGTCCCCCGGAGGGTCTTCCAGCTTCGGGGCACCGCAAAAGGAGGAAACAGTGCAGAGCAGCAAGCGGGCCAAAAGCGACGAGCCGCCCTCTCCCTTACCTCATGAGGTAATCCCTGAACTCCTTGCTGCGCACATAGTCCGCGGCTTTCCGGGCCAGGGCCGCCGCCATGGCGAAAGACAGGAGAAGGGAGCCGAGCTCTCGGAGGCACCGCCGACGCGGCTAACAATGACAACCTTCTCGGCGGTCGGGAACGAGCCTCCTTTTCGCGACCGGCCCGGCCCCTGCCTTACGACAGCGCTCGCGTTTCCATAGCAACCCCCCCATCGTCGATAGGCGCCGGTTCTTCCTTCTCCCGGCCCCCCTCCCCCCTACTTTCAATTGAGTCGTTCAAGGGCGGGGAAGGAAAGGAGGTTTGCCGTAAAGCACGGACGACGCCGGTTCTCAAGCCGGGTTTCTGTTGGCTGCGGGCAGGGATCGGATGGGTTCTTATTGGTCGGTTGCGGTAGCCTGACGTATCGCTACACGAGGCGCCCTCCGTCGCCTTCAGTTTGCCGGTCAAGGGCAAGATGAGTGGTTCTGAGCGGGAGGCGGGGCTGAGTTCATTTCTTCCTCGGCCATTGGTGGCTGAATTTCGGGGTGCCAGTGGTAGAGGCAGTGCTCTCTTCCCTCGTTCAGGTTTCCGTATGAAATAATTAAACTCCATCTCTTGCGCCGTATTGTATTTTGGGAAGCGCGGTCCACCTTCTTGCAGTTATCTTGGATGACCCAGAACACTTGCTGATCAAATACGGGAGTCCCTTCTGCTTGGTTTGTTTCTTCCTAGGGAAAAGACCTCAAGCTCAAAATGAGATTATTTGAGTTGCCCGTTTCTGCATCTTTTGAAGAATTATATTTTTCACATTACCAAAACTAAGGATAGTATTTCAAAAGTGGATGCATTATACAGTAATGGTTTGATATTCCGTTTGTTTCTTAAACAAATCTAGTTCAGAATTCACACACGCACACACACACACAGCGTCATTTTACACTGCTGTCCATTATAATCCCAAGAATAGATCTTTCCATATATTAGGAGTTAAAATAGCGAATTGCAAGTATATTGCTCAAAACTAATAGTCCAGAAAGTTAGTCTCTACTAAAACAATACCTCTATCTCGATTATGGTGGTTTTAAAATATTTTCTACTTGACAACATAGTTTTTGAGAAGTCACTACTAAGTTCAGACAAAATTGGAACAGGAAGATAATAACTTACTACATTGCACCAGAAAATTTGTCATGGAGATTCTAGAAAAATATTTGCTTCCCATGACCTGGTGGCTCTTAGAAAAGGCTTTAGTTTCTAATCTTGATCTTCACTATATGCCATAATGTCTGTCATGCAGCCCTTACTTCTTTGAATTTCACCAGTATGACCAAAATGATGCTCAAAAGAAAATGGATTTTTGCACTGGAGTTTGGAAAGCCTTTTAAAAATGAAAAAATATTTGAAGAAAATTTTAAATTTAGAAATGAACAGATTCTATTGTTTCTGGTTATTTATGCATTTCTACAAATAGTAAAGCAATTGCTGAGAAGTCTAGGCTAGAGTTTATTGCTTTGCCTACAGTTTATACCATTATCAATACAATTAGATGTTTTATCCAAAGTCACTGGTATAACTGTCATGAATTAAGTATATATAGCTTCTCAGTTATTGGAAAATTCATACAGCATTGCTCAGTTTTGATTCTCTTATGATTTCCTCTGCTTTCTTTTTGAATTATATGGGAAATTATGTGCCCATGGGTTTTCCATCTCTAGATGGATAAATGTGTTTTGTTGGTTTCATACATTTTATATGGTGACCAAAAGACTTTTAAAAGCTTTCCATTTCATAAGTGTAAGGACCCTATCTTGGATAGATTATTTCTAATCTAGGTAAGGCTGAGCTTTTTTTTTTTCTCTACATGACTTTTAGCCTCTTAAATAACCAGCAAACAAATGAGATAGCAACTCTTATCTTTGCTTGTAAGGATAGATAATGGAACTGTTTATTACTCTTTTAGCTCTGGAGATTACTTTCCTTCTCTTCTAGTTTAAACTTGGCTCATACCACTGTACTCTTATCCTGTAGAAGAATTGTAAGAAACATCTGCCAACTATTAATAGAATAGTTTCATTTTTTTAAAGAGAGGGTAATAGCAGTGGAGTTCTCTTATCTTTGGGCCTCATTCATGTCCTACAATAATGATACAAGTCGGATATCTGACGTAGTTTGCCCTTTAACAGAATTTTGATTCAGTTCCTTTGACTCGCACACTAAAAAGCCAATCTAAATCAATATGTAACAACAACAAAAAATTAAACTGTAACTAGCTTGGGAAATCAGTCTGAAAGCTAAACACTTTCCAAAAGAACTGGGATCAAAGGGAAAGTGATGGTTGTTCACTATGGAGTCAGAACTGCTGATCTTTTAAGAAGGTGTGTGAATCATAGGCAAATCTTTCTATTATTATTAGATTTATGCCCGTACACGTTATGCACATCTTTAAGAATATCACCCATAAACATGTAGAAAGTGTTCAACATCCTAGCCAGGTGTTTGGGGTTCATTTATTCATTTTATGTTTCACCTTTCTATTTGCTGTATTTGGATAAAGTAGTTAATAGCAAGTAAAATACAAAAAGAAACATTAACATTATTAACAACTGCATTATTGTTTGAAATGCTTGGTATGGTGGAAAATTTTTCAGCAACCGGGAACCACACTTTTAAGGATATTCTTTTCCTGACACAGAACTGCAGTGAAGGAGTTTATATAATATAATCACTTCAGTAATACATGCAATATTTGGAGGGGAGGTAATCTCAAGTGGGCAAGGGCACTCTAAGATGTTTCCCTTTTATACTTTACTCACTGGACACACATTCAAACACACATACACACTGTACCATGGCAATGGTTTATTGGTTGGATGTGTCTTAAACTCTGCAGAAATTAGTTCAGGTAACAGCTGATAACAATGAAATGGAAAGAAATAAGGAATTCTTGTCCTTGCTTGAGCTTTCAAACACACAAGAAGAAGTGCCTGAAGACGAGTCCTGGTTCCAGCCACAAGTAAAAACAGGTTTTTACTTCATGTTAAGATAGGCAAGATATACAGTCTATAAAGCAAGTTTTTCTGGCTTAGCAATGTTCATTATTGCAATAGCATACTGCTGCTGAAAGGCAATACGATTAAGCTCTATAGTTTCAATGTAAAATGATATGTAAGAATGAGACTGTCCTGCTCTGTTGAAATCATTGGCACTGATGCTGTGTACAGATTTGAATGGAATTTGGACTGTGACTTTGAGATGTAAACTTTTACCTAATGTGCTCACCAAAACAGAACATTTCGGTTGATGTGACAGTAAGGCTGGGATCATTACTTCCAAGTCCTAATATGACTGATTTTGGCACAGCCTACTTGGTGACCTTAGACATAGTAGTTTATAAATTATGCTTTCTATTTTAGTATTAGATATGAACCCAGGCACTATAGTTTGATCAACACATACAGCACATGGGAAACTCAGCCATGAGCACATGTGATTTGCCATTTTTAAGAGCTAATTTATATATATGGATATGTCCCTTTTTATTCTGGATTTATTCATAGAATATAGCTTTTCCCAGCTTACAAATAACCCTCGATTTATATCCCTTCATTTAATGAGAGTTCAAAGTTATGACAGTGCTGAAAAAGTCATTTATGACCTACCCTTGAAGTTACAACCATTATAGTCACATAATCACAATTCAGACACTTGGCAACTGGCTTACATTTATCATAGTTGCAATGTCTTGTGATCACATGATCTCTTAAAAAATGAGTTTCCAGTGATTGCTTCTTTCTAGTGCAGTCAAATAAAAATGCTTGAGTAAAATTACCTCATTGAAAGATTTTCAAGCTCTGTTACAGCCTCTCCATATATTTGACTGCTGTTTTTTCAGCTTGAAGTCACACAAATTTACCATTTACTTATGTATGAGATGTAGCTTCTTCAGAGCTGGTTTTCAAAGAGATTGATTATACGCCTCCAAGTGATTGTTGACTCTTAGTGATGACAGATGGATTGTTTTGATGATCCAAAGAGATACACAAAATTCAAGTTTGTTGTAGTAATTTGGAATTAACATCGCAGTATCTACTAGTTATCATATTGCTCCTTCATATCTTCACTTTCTTGCAAATTTATCTGTAGATATTTTAGCTAGGTTACTCCTGGCATTGCATTTCTATATTTTCAGAATGTTGTTAAACCATAACTACACATCTTGACACAACTCTTCAAATATCTTTTAAAAATATCTTTAGTTACCAAAAACTAGTGGGCATTTTTCTTTTTTTATTCAATAGTTAGTCAGAGGTGTCCATGGGTCCCAGTGCTTTCATCAAAATGATGAAAGCAGCATTGTTACACTGCATATTCTCTCCTTTCATAAATGAGAGTGATATCAAACATATAAAATTCATGCCACTGCGTTGCTGTTTATCATTTCTCATTCACATCCCCCTTATATTCACATCCCCCTTATATACTTGTGTGCAACATTGCAGTGCAAGTATAAAAAAGAAGACCATGACATCTCAACAAGTTTCATCACTTTGGTGTCATCATTATAGGAAAGGATGCCTACAAGTACAGGTGCTTTACCAGAAAAATGCTCCCCCTGCCCCAGTCCCTGTGGATCAGGTGCTACAACAGATACAATTGCTTTACTCTTCAAGGTGCCCCATAATTTATCCTATTGTGCATTGTGAAATATCTTTTTTGAATGCTTTGCATATCTTTATGATGTATTCTATGGGAATAATATACACATGTACCACAATTCCATGAAAAGATGACATGCTTCTTGACTAATTTCTAAATATATGCATTCTGATTCATATTATTTGTATTCCAACTTATTTCATAGATTCAAATCAGCTTACGAGTATCTCAATTATAGAGGATACCCCTTGAAGCATCTATGATTAAAAACCACAGTCAAACTTGGTTTGAATACTGTGCTTCTTTGTACCTTTCTGTTGTCAGCAGATATCTAAAGCAGACAAATCCATTTTTGCTACTTATAAAAGGATCCTAAATTGAGAAGGATTCTGTTATAGGCTCTGAAAGGTGAAAAGGCCTTTGAACATTCTGTTACCAACAGATAAGCAGGACCACACATTCAGAATTTCTAATACTCGAAACAGTCTGGTATTTCCACCCGCCCTATATTTAAGGCATCTCACTCACTTTATGGTGTTTCCCAGCACTATTTTATTTGAAAAGTCAAACTTGAAGAACAGCTGCTCTGCTGCAGTCCTGTGTGCACAGCACATCAACATGTACATT